TGCCACGATGAACCTCAGAAACACCATGCGGAATGAGGGAGCCCACTTCTTCTTTCTGATTCTCTCTCTATGAAATACCCAACCGCGGTGACCTCGTTGGGCAGGGTAGAACTGTCCCACAGGTTTGCCAAGACTGATATCTAAACCCCCTCATCTCTCTCCTGTGGCGTGGCTCAAAACTCAGGGCTACCCCGTCGATTCCGACTCCTGGTGACCCTGTAGGCCAGTATAGGACTGCCCCCAGGCGTCTCCAAGACTGGAACTTTATGCCAGAGTAGAAAGCCCTGTCTTTCTCCCACAGAGCAGCAGGTGGTTTTGAACTGCTGACCTTGTAGTCAGCAACCCCAACGTGTAACCACTGTGCCACCAGGGTTGTTGGGCCTGAACTACCAGCCTTTTCCTTTAGCAGCTACCGTAAGTGCTTTAATCACTGAGCCACTGGGCTCCACCTATGAGATCTCCAGACCAGATCACAGGTCCCACAGAGACCGAATCACAGTTACAGGACACAGATGGGCCATGTCCAGGGGCGAGAAGGAGGAGACGTGACGGCTCCGGGGACAGGGCCTTCTTGGAGGGGGGTGGGGATGGGGCTGTTTCAGGACCTAGATAGGAGTGATGATTATACAACATTGTCAATCTATTAAAGCCACTGAATTGTCCATTGTAGAATCGTTCATTTGATGTCATGTGAATTTTACCTCGATAAAGGACATTTTAAAAACTATTTAAGAAATAGGATTCACTGGGGAGTCTTCCAGAGGGGGGTGGTGCTCGTCCCCTTCTGTCCTCCCCCTGGACCCTGACCCCAGGCCTTGATGTGAGCGCCGGGGAACCCAGTGGCTGTTGCCTCTTAGGTCGCATGGATTCTTGCATGCGTGAGGCACGTCTTGTGTTTCTGGGGCCGGGGAACCCCCACTTGAAATAGGATTCATAAGACCTTCCTTTCATAACTTAACTGGTTCATGAAATAATGTTTTGTGCTTTCATGTGAATCAGTATATTTAAACAAGTTGTCTAAAGTGTCATTTAATTGAGTTCAACTCTCACTGTTGGATGCTTACTGTTGGATGCTTACTGTTACAGAAAGTACCGAGCAGGTGGCAGTTAGTGAAAAATGATTTGGATTAAGAGCACAAGTATGGGGGCGGGGAAGTGCTCTGACTATGAAACACCCCCTCACTCACCCACCCACCCCCAAAATCTCATGAGACACCAAAAGTATTCACCCTCCCAAACAAACATGGATGCTTCATTTCTTTTTGTATTATTATTATTTTGGTTTTCTTCTTGATTCGCTTGCATCACTGCTACTGGTATTGTAAAAAGAGACATGACATATTGAAACAAAGAATGCACAAAGTGGAAGTTCTTCCAAGTTCCCCCTCTGGCGAGCATGCTCAAACAAAGTGTTCGGGGCTCATTTCTTTGCATAGATTCTAGAGCCTTCCTTTGGGTAAGCTGCTGTGTCCGTCTCCACCAATCACCTGCCTGCTTTGGGCAGGAGGCGTAAACTCAAAGGCTTTACAGAGATATATTCACAGAGGTGGCTGACCTCCCAACCTGCGGGGGCAAGAGAAGGAGGGGAGTCTGGGGGGGGCTGGAGTGAGGTCTCTCCCTGGGTAAAGACTCTTAGTGACCTCTGGACCCGGGGTCAGTCTCCCTGCTCAGAGCTCCTCACAGATGTGATTGTGCATCTTCCTTCTGGAAAGCCAGCCTTGCCTGCCAGACTTGTATGGGCCTGTGTACACACACACACACACACACACACACACACACACACACACTCATCTCACCCTGCGATGCTGCCCCTCCCACATAGGGACTAAGAGCCTGCCTTGTTTTTGTTGTTGTGCTTTCTAAAAGATAGGGGAGGGGTCGGTACCACACCAAGAAATGGGGCTCCTTCTGTCTCCCCCTCTCTGTGTCTAATCCTGCTCCCTCCAGGGTCCAAAGAGAGCCTGGAGCCCATTTCCAAAGCAGCTCTTCTCCTCCTCTGTGAGCTGGAGTGTCTCAGCAGGGGGAGCTGCACGAGGGCAGAGGCAGGCCGAACTCAGGGCCAGGAGGCACCTTCCCAATGTACTGCCTGGCAGGGATAGACCTCATTCTGTGGTGAGCCTCGCTGCCTAGTGCCCAGGTTCCCTTGGAGTCCAACCCCTCCCCCTCCACAGGACTCAGCTGTCTGTTACCCTCCCCTCCCCTTTCACCCCACCTCCCAGCTGCATCTGATGACTTCTGACACACTTGGGCTTTGGGTCACAGCTCAAAGGGCATCACCAGGTAACAGCCATCCAACAGGATCCTCCCGTAAGCCTCCCGTCAGAGGCAGGTGAGGGCTGTGGGACCCCCAAGGTGCTTCCTCAGAGAGCCGAGGGGTGGGGAGGGGGCAGGCATGCATCTTGCAGGACTGGATGTGCAGTAAAGGTGAGTTCATTTGTTTGTAAAAACATATTTTGGTCTGGCTCTCGAGTAATTTTTAAATGGTTGTGAGGGACAGGATTGGCTCTTCCATCTCACTAGTGTGCCGACACCGGGCTTGCTTGCTGAGGTCTAATTGGCTTTATAAAGAAGACTGTGGCTGCAGGGTTGGAGGAAGGCTTATTCACAACAACCTGCGGGTGCAGACGATACCACCTTGCTTCCTCAGAGTGAGGAGGACTTGAAGCCCTGGCTGGCCAAGATCCATGCATGCAGTCTTCAGTGTACATCGGGACTCGCCATCAAGAAGACCCACATCCTCGCAACTGGACCAGGAGCTGACATCATGGTCCATGGAGACAAGGTTGAAGTTGTGAAGGATTTCCTCTCGCTTGGATCCACAATCGATGCTCACGGAAGCAGCGGTCAAGAGATCAAAAGACCCATTACATTGGGCTGAGATGCTGCCCGAAACCTCTTTAACGTGTGGAAGAAAGGGCTTCAGAAGAAAGATAAATGTTTTGAAGAGGACGAGGGCAGCATCTGTCCAAGTTCGCTTGATATAACTGATTTGTGGGTTGTTATATCTCTAAAAGCCACCAATAAAATGATTAAAAAATAAAATCAGAAGCAATATTACTGCCCCCCCGCCCCCACCAAAAAATAAAACCTGAAGTGTTGAAGAGCAAGGCTGTCACTTTAAGGACTGAGCTGCACCTAGGTCAAGCCACGGTATTTTCCATTTCCTCAGACGCACGTGACGGTCGGAAAATGCCTAAGGAAGCTTGCCGGAGAATCGACACCTTCCCCCTGACGTCACGGAAGAACATGGAAAGGACCGCACGCCGTCCGAGAACAAGCACATCTGTCTTGGAGGACGTCCGCCCAGGATGCTCCCTAGAGGTGAGGCTGGCGAGGCTCAGTCTCCCATAGTTTTGCACACGCTCGTAGGAAAGAGCAGTACCTGCAGAAGGGCTTCATGTTTGGTAAAGCAGAGGGCCGTGGAAAGAGGAAGGCGCTCGATGAGGAGGTGGTTGACACAGTGGCTGCAAACATGAGCAGAAACACATCAGTTATGGGGATGACAGAGCACCGGCGGTGTTTCTTTCTATTGAACACGGGGTCACTGTGAGTCAGAGCAAACTCAATGACGCAACCTAACAACAATGGACTGTGAACCCAGCTCTCTCTAGTCGGGGACAGGTGGACGGGGTCTGCCAAGGAGGAGGGCAGACTCCAGAGGGAGGCCTATTGTTTGGATCCAAGGGGGCAGGACCAGAGCTGGGCCATCTTGGGGATCATGTGAAGGGGACTTGGGCAAACCCAAGGGCTGGGCCATCCTAGGGTAGGGTAGGGGGAGGCAGAGCCGTGGGCACATGGAGCAGTAAGTAGCCCCCCCCCCCCATCAGAGACATCAGGGGCTGGACTCTCACCTCAGTCCTGTGTGGTCGGTCCTGCAACTCCTCACAGTGGTCTGGGCTGGGGGCTGGGGTAGCACCTGCTGGTGGAGCTGGGCACCGGAGCACCCGGGCCGTGAAGGCACTGTGTTGTGGTGACGGACTGGATAGAGAGACATACAGCAGGAAGGGGCCTGGGATGTCCCGAGGTGGAGCAGGCAGGAGAGGGGACGCGAGAAAGTGACCTTTGAGGGGAGTGGGGGCAGGAGGGAGGGAAAAAAAGAGGAGCTGATCCCAAGGGCCCAGTGGAAAGTAAATGTCTAGAAAAGAACGATGGAATATGTGTACGAATATGTGGGATACAATTGATGTGTGGTTTGTAACAAGAGTTGTAAGCGCCCCCAATAAAATGATTAAAAACAAAACAAAAAAAGAAACTTCAGATGCCCACTGGTAGAACTTATCAGAACTACCAGACAGGGCCATCGACATAATGTGTGACTAAGCACAGTTGTTTACTCAATGTATAAAAACCCTACCAGGTGGCAGACACACAGAGGACACCACACCACTCTGAGCTCTCTCCACCGGTTAGGTAGGCCACCTTTGATGTACTTACTGTCTGATGTGTGACTGTGTATGCCAATAGGTTACATTAGAATAGATACTGACTATAAAATGCGCTATCCCTTTGATGAATCAACGTGTGAATTCAGCATCAAAAAAAAAAAAGAAGAAAGAAAGTGACCATTGAGTCAAGAGGCAGCCAGGTAGAGCAGGTAGAGTGTGCCAGGCAGAGGCTCGGCTGCACACAGGCCCCGAGGCAGGCATGAGCCTGCATGTGAGAAGCCTCCTGGCTGTTGTGGAGAGGGCACAGGGAGAACACTGTAGAGGTGGAAGGAAAGGGTGTGCTCAGCTCACACAGGGCCCATGACGGGGGCAGGGCCTGGCCTAAGGACCAGAGGTGGGCTTCTCAGGAGAGGGGGCTTGGCAACATTCTGTGACAGCTTCAGTACCTCCAAACTAGCCCCTGGAGTCCGGAGAAAGGCGGGGCTTTCTGCTGCGGAGAGTCACAAACCCATCTGCTCCTCAGAGGCAAGGACGGCCAGACCTGGTCTTACACACTTTGGATGTCTTGTCCGGAGAGACCCTGGAGAAGGACCTCGTCCTTGGTACAGTGGAGGGATGGCGGAGAAGAGAAAGGCCCTCAAGCCGATGGTTTGACACCTGGCTGCCTCCTCGGGCTCAGGCATCGGAACCATGGTGAGGCGGGTGCAGGGCCAGGCGGTGTTGCCTTCTGTTGTGCACAAGGTCGCTTTGGGTCAGACCTGACTCGAGGGCACCTGACAGCAACAACAACATCAGAGTTACCGCCTCAGAAACCCGCACGGGCAGGTCTACCCTGTCCCATATAGAGGGCTGCTATAAGCCCTCATCCACTCAATGCCAGTGAGTTTGGTTTTAAGTTGGCCCACCAGAAGAAGGGGTGGGCTGGGAGCAGGACAGGTAGGAGGCCAGCAGAGGTTGTCCAGGAGGGGCGAGGAATGGGGGCCTGGCTGTGCACGGCCCTCTGGAGGTTCTTCCAGGGCAGCGGTTTTCAACCTGTAGGTGGTGACCCCTTTGGGGGGTCTAATGACCCTTTCACAGGGGTCACCTAAGACCATCAGAAAACACATAAATATTTCACAAGATATGATTACATCTGGTTTTGTGATTAATCCCTATGCTTTCATTGTGTTAAATGATGTTCAATTTGTAACAATGAAAATACATCCTGCCTCTCGGGGAGGAGATGAGCCAGTCAGGGTGCGATATAACAATGATGAGAAATACAACTTTCCTCTAGTTCCTAAATGGTTCCTCCCCGCTCCCACTACCATGACTCGAATTTGATCTTGCAAGTCTGGCTAGACCAGAGGAGGTACACTGGTACAGATAGGAACAGAAAATACAGGGAATCCAGGACAGATGAGCCCTATAGGACCAGTGGTGTGAGTGGCAAAACAGGGAGGGTAAAGGGAGAATGGGTAGGAAAGAGGGAACCGATTACATGGAATTGTGTGTGACCTCCTCCCTGGGGGACAGACAACCGAAAAGTGGATGAAGGGAGACGTTGGACAGGGCAAGATATGACAAAATACCCATTTATAAACTATCAAGGGCTCATGCGGGAGGGGGGAGCGGGGAGGGAGGGGAAAAATGAGGACCTAATGTCGGGGGTTTAAATGGAGAGAAAATGTTTTGAGAAACGATGTACAAATGCGCTTTACACAATTGATGTGTGTATGGATTGGGATAACAGTTGTATGAGCCCCTAATAAAAGTTAAAAAAAAAATACGTCCTGCCTATCAGATATTTACATGGATTCATAACAGTAGCAACATGACAGTGATGAAGTAGTAAGGAAAATAATGTTATGGTTGGGGGTCACCACCACAAGAGGAACTGTCTGAGAGGGTCTCAGCACTAGGAAGGTTGAGAACCACTGCCCCAGGGGGACAAGGACAGCTGGGCTGCCTTCAGGGACACAGGCATCTGACTGAGAGAGCTCCTCCCCTCCAGGGCAGGCTAGCCCGGCCACCCTTCCCAACCTGCAGGCCCCTGGAATGAGGCGGGAGTGGGGCTGTCTGAATTCCAGAGTGCCAATCTCAAAAGCCCTGTGGCAGCCTCTTTGGCTCCGGGGACTTTGGCCTAAAAGAGCCACAGGGAGGCAGGCGGAAGCCCGGGGCGGTGACAAGCGAGGAGGAGGGCGGCCTCCAGGGCAGATAGGTGCATGATGTCACCTTCAGTAACTCCAGTCCTGGTGGAATTACCTCAGCCCGCGCCCAGAGGACCCACAAAACAAACGAAAGGCCGGATACTGGTTTTGAAACAGCTAGTTGGGACCTAGCACAGCCAGGGCTTTGTCACGTGGACAATGAGTGGAGAGGGCCAGGGAGGAGACGCAGGCTGAGCAGATAAGTGAGTGGTGATAGGAGAGGCAGGGCACTGGAGGGTCAGGGTGAGGTCTCAGTGGGTCTGAGATTAGGGCTCTGGGGTGGGGCAGGGCCTGATGCGCCGGAGGTCAGGACGCTGAGGACCATTATCCCACCCCCTGTGCGTTGGGAACCACCAGGCTTAACCCACGCTGATATGGGGAGGCAAGGCAGCTTCCACTGAGATTGCCAGCCAGGCTCCGGGGGTGGAGGAGAGAGAGGTCAGGAAGTGCCCTGTGGGTTGAGACCCCTTTGGGGCTCAAACGACCCTTTCACAGGGGTTGCTTAAAACCATCAGAAAACACATATTTCCGATGATCTTAGGAACCGAGACCCCGCGCCTCTATGCGTCTCCAGGAGGGCCGGCCCACATGCAGATATGCCCACATATGAGTACCCAGCGTGAAGACTGTTACCCATGCTACACCATGCTTCAAGACACAATTTCAGCAGCTTCCCAGTTCAGACTAGACCAGAACATGTCCACAGGTATAGAAAGGGATGGGAGCTCACGACACACGGAATCCAGGAGTAGGAATGGTGATGCTGGAAGAGTAGGGGGAACGGGGAGAGGAAGGGAACCAATCACAATGATCGACACATAACCATACACCCCTCTACAGGGGGAAGAACAACAGAAAGCATGGGGGAAGAGAGAGTGGTCCATGTGAGAGATGAAAATAATAACAATGTACAATCTATCGGAATCGATGAGGGTGGGGGAAAGGGGGGAAAGGAAAAAAAAAAAGACCTGGTACCGAGGGCTCAATAGAAAGTAAATGTCGAAGGGATCAGGTATAAGGCATCATCAG